CCTTTCTCGGCCATGTCCAGTCATCTATACTTTTCGCTAACCCTCGAGGCTTGGCGTCTCGCTGGCAGAGTGACGCCCAGTTTTACGTCACTGTCTCTCTGTCTATCTCTCTGTCTGTCTATCTCTTTATATGTCTACGTACCTATCTATTTATCTTTCTTTTTATCAGTCTGTTCTGTATTCTAATCTATATGTCTGTCTATACGTTTTTCTCTCTGTCTGTTTCTGTCTTTCTCGATCTGTCTCTCTTTTCTCGGATCTCTATCTCTCTTCTCATTCTTCTCTCTCTCTCTCTCTCTCTCTCTCTCTCTCTCTCTCTCTCTCTCTCTCTCTCTCTCTCTCCGTCTCTCTCTTTCTCTCTCTCTCTCTCTCTCCCTCTCTCTCTCTCTCTCTGTCTCTCTCTCTCTCTCTCCTATCTCTCTCTCTCTACTCTCTTCTCTCGTCTCTCTCTCTTCTCTCTCTGCTCTCTCTCTCTCCTCTCTCTCTCTCTACTGTCCTTTTTGTTTCATTATTTGCCAAATCTTTTATCCCCTCCATTTCTCCCCCACTCTTCTCCCTCATTCTCTCCCCCTTTGCTTCCGCCCATTATCAACTTCCCGCTTTTCCTCCTTCATTCTTCTTCTCCATTATCCACTCCCCCTCCCCTCTCCCCCCTCCTTCCTTCCCTCCCTTCCCCTCCTCCCAGCCTCTTATCCCTCTCACTCGCCACCTTTCTTTCCCTTATCAACCTTCCCCTCTCTTCCCCCTTCTCTTCCTTTCCTTCTTCTTCCCCTTCCGTTCTCCTCACCCTAACTCCCTTTCCCTTCTCCCCATTCCCCCTTCCGCTCTCCTCTCCCTCCCTCTTTTCCCTTTTCCCCTTCGCCCTTCTCCCCCTTCCCCCTCCATCTTTTTCCCCTTTCGCATATCCCCATTCTCCCTTCGCCCTCACCGTTTTCCCCTACCCCACGTTTGCCCTCTCCTCCCCCTCCCTCTTTCCCCTTTTCCCCTCCCCTTCTCACTCGCCTTACGTCCCCCTTCTCTCCACTTTCGCCCACCTCCCGCGCCTTCTTTGGTGCTTGGTCCAGAGGGAGGGCGAGCAAAATGAAGGTTGCGATTGCGCCATCTCGCCCCGTCACCTCCCTCCCTCTCGCCCCTTCCCCCCCACCTAGTCGCAATGCAGTGCACCCCTTATCTAAATCTCACTCGCGCGTGTCTTCACTTCCCTTGCCCCTCATCGGTGCCTGCGCAATGCGTTACGTACAGCCCTCCTCCCACCTTACCTCCTCCACCTCGCCTGCCTAACCTCCGCCCACCCCTACCCTCGCTCGCCACCACCTCTCACTCCTACGCTACTCGCCGCAAACTTGCCCGTCTGCTGCCTCTGCAAAACAGTTCGCAGCAGCAACCCTCCTCGTAACTACCCCTGCCCTCTCTCTAACCTCCCTCACCACTCTCCCTCTCCTACTCCTCCCCAACGCCTACCCCCCTCCCATCCTCTTCTCCTCCTCTCCTTCCCTTGCACCCTTCGCTCCTACAGTCCCCACCTGCGTCCCTCCCCCCGCACCCCCGCCCACCCTCGCAAAGCAGGTCGCCAATCCGTTTTTCAGAGACACTGTTTGTTCCTGCCTTTCTTGATTCAATATAAAATTGTCTCTCAACTTGAGGGATTTATGATCGCCAACGAGAAATAGTAATTGTGTTTTCTTCTGTTTTTTTTTTTGTCTTAGCTCTTTTGCATTTTTGTTTCTTTTTCTTTATTTCTTTTTCTTTTTCTTTCTACAACGAGAAAAATTATGTGCATTCGTAACCCTCGGGAATTCGGTCAATTTTAGTGCCTATTGCCCAACGCAAATCTTTCTCTGTCGCTTTCTTGGAAAACATGAAATTAAGAGGATTAAAAAAAAACGAGTGAAATATGTCTCAAGGAGAAGGAAAATACGTACAAGAGAACAGACATGATGCTTTGAGGGAATCAGTCACGCCTATTCTGAACGCGAGAAGGACCACCCGCTCGCCGCCTCTGTCGCTTCTCTCTACCTGCCTCTCCTTTCTCTGTCCTGTCTGTCTGTCTTTCTTTCTCTCTCTCTCTTTCTCATCTTTCTGTCTGTCTGTCATCTTTTATCTCTTTCTCGTCTAGTCTGTCTGGTCTCTTTCTGTCTCTTTCCTCTCTCTCTCTCCTCTCTTTCTTTCTCTCTCTCTTCTCT